CAATGTGGCTGAATTACAACAATTCTGCATAGATGAGTGGACCAAAATTCCTCCACAGCGCTGCAACACTCATCGCAAGTTATCGCAAACGCTTGACTGCAGTTATTGCTGCTAAGGGTGGCCCAACCATTTATTAGGTTTAGGGGGCAAACACTTTTTCACACAGGGCCATGTAGTTTTGGATTTTGTTTTCCCTTAATAATAAAAACCTTCATTTAAAAACTGCATGTTGTGCGTAGCAGATCTATTCTGCCAAGACCAAATACACTAACATTGTCATGTACATTACCACACCAATGCCTCTGAGAGTTGTCATGACAGAAACACACACACACACACATATATATTACATAATACATATATATATATATATATATATATATATATATTATTTCAGTTAACGTTTATTTTATTTCAAGTATTTTTTTCATGGTTTTATTTTTAGTTAACTATAACCTTGACTCTAATACACTGCATAGATAAAACTGAATTGAGTAAAACCATTAAAATTAGAAAGAATACATTAATTTGCAATTAAATTAATAGCTAGCAATAGCACACATGCAAGTGCTAATATAACTTGCAAAGAGTGGACAGTTATTACTTTCAAGTAACACAACATGCAGTATAAATAAATATTAATCAATCTATTATTGAGTTCACATGACTGTTTCTTTTAAGTGCAATGAACTTTTATTTAGTAAATTTCACCAGTCCAGTGAGATTAAATATACATGCAATTAAGGTTATGAAAACAAGTTGTAATATCTCATGCTGTGAGTAAATGTATCTTGTTTCAATATATTTTTTATTGGAGTTAAAGGTGGGAAAGAATCTTTAGAAACTAAATTACGACTTTTTTAGCACAAGAAACGTTACAAGTGCACATCAGGACAGAAGAAAACGTCAAACAGCTGAATGAACTCATCAGCCAGCGGCGATGTGTGACTGACTCAGAGGAGAGATTCACCCGTGTGTACGTGAGAAACACCATCCGGGGTTTCCCTCCATCTCTAAGCCTCCTCTAAATGAAAAACAGAGAGAAAGCTTTCAGCTGAATGAGAAAGCCTCTCTCAGTCTCAGTGCTGCAGTGGCTGCGAGAGCAGATTTATGGGGCCCTCTAATGGGCTCTACAGAAAAACCCCTCCATCAGCACAGCTCTCCGTCCACTCCTGTTCCACACAAAATCACAGACACACACACACACAAACAAACACACATGCACGCACACACAGACACACACACACACACACACACACACACAGAGAAGTTAAAGACTAACAACAGTATGACACAACGCTGGACTCTTGGGGCGTGAACAGCTCCAGACCAAATCAGTGGAGTTTATCATGGTTTCTGTGCTGATTTAGGAGTAAATATGGAGAATTTAAATCAGAGCTGAAAACACAGACCACATTTGCCAAAACTATTACAAACTTTAAATCCATATGGCGCTAGTGTAAATATGCTGGTCTACTTCTACAAGTGAACAAAATTTACTAAGCATAATAAATAAATAAAAAAAATTACCATTGCACTTCTATAAGTAGACAAAATTAACTTTCAGGATGTGCTTATTGGGGCTGTCAAAATGGCTAAAAAACTAAATTCGAATTTTGTACTAATATATTATCAAAAGTCGAATTATATTCAAATTTAAAATGCATAATTTCAGTCAGGGTGAAGAAAAGCTTTTGGCTTCTCTCCTGAGGCCACAAGAGGGCGCATCAAGCAAAATATTACTAATGCATGTTTATTCAAAGCATAAGATAACATGACTATCTGTGGAAAAAAGTGCATACAACGGTGTACCAGCTCTAATTACATGGCGAAAATTTGAGCAAAACATGCTAACTGATCTGTCTTTAGCTGCACAGACAAGCACAGAACACTATTTAGAGTCCCAGCCTCAGAGGAGACAAGAGAGCAGTGGATTTATTTAGGCTACTGTACATTGCTGCTGCCACACAGATCTAAAATAAACATGCAATTTATTTTCCAGCTGTTTACCTTCACAGACACAACCGACTGTTTTTGTAACTCGTGTTTTTAACGTAAACTTGTGTGTGAATGAGAACTTAGTTTAGTACTCACATGCTGTGACAGCCGCTTTCTGTGCGTGTGCTTCGGATGTGTGCGCTCAGAAAACCTTATATCTGAAGTTTAAACTCATATGGTTTAAAACGCATGATTTCAGCGAGATAAACATGATAATCAGAACAAAAACAGATGTTTTTAGCAGATACGAACTGTAAAGGCGCAGCTCTATTCTGCAAAAGGGGGCGGGGAGCAGCAGCTAATTTGCATTTGAAGACACAGACCCGAAAAACAGCTTGTTTCTGCTTCCACTCAAAATAGGCATTTTCAAAATTATATAATAAATGATCTGCTGTGTATTTTGAGCTGAAACGTCACAGACACATTCTGGGGACACCAGAGACTTATATTACGTATTCTAAAAAGGGGCATAATATGTCACCTTTAATACAAAGGGCCGAAAGCCAATCACACAGAGTACATTTTTTATTTAAAAACACGAGTTGCAGTGGGATGGGGAAAAAACCCCCGCCATAAAGTCTCGAAATGTTTTTTCAAAGTTGAACTTGCATTCATTTTACATGGCTTTCTAAACATGCTCTCTTTTGTGTGAGACGCGAGTGCAACAGTGATAGATGTCCCTCTAGATTCTAGAAAATGCGCGAAACATGCATTCTGTGTAAACAGCTTGGTTTCAGTTTTGTCGTAAACAAGATGTCCGCATTGATGTTCTCTTTTCCCTAAATATTTTTAATTAACAACGCAGCAGCGCCGCATCTAGTGGCTTCAACAGGATAGGCTAACAAAAACATTCAAATGCAACGATCAGTGCTCCACTGATAAAGTTGCCTCCTTAATGCACACCTAAAATTAGAATGCAACGTTTTTGCATTCAAATATGGATTTTTATTTTAAATTTGACGAATATTCGAAAAAAAATTTGACCGCCCAAGTGCTTATAATAAGTAAATACATAAAAGAAAATAAATAAGTGTACTTCTATAAGTGAACAAAATAATTGTAAGCATTTGCTTTTATTAAACGAACAAATTAATGAAGTGTACAAGTGAACGAAATAATCAGAACAAAAACAGATGTTTTTAGCAGATACGAACTGTAAAGGCGCAGCTCTATTCTGCAAAAGGGGGCGGGGAGCAGCAGCTAATTTGCATTTGAAGACACAGACCCGAAAAACAGCTTGTTTCTGCTTCCACTCAAAATAGGCATTTTCAAAATTATATAATAAATGATCTGCTGTGTATTTTGAGCTGAAACGTCACAGACACATTCTGGGGACACCAGAGACTTATATTACGTATTCTAAAAAGGGGCATAATATGTCACCTTTAATACAAAGGGCCGAAAGCCAATCACACAGAGTACATTTTTTATTTAAAAACACGAGTTGCAGTGGGATGGGGAAAAAACCCCCGCCATAAAGTCTCGAAATGTTTTTTCAAAGTTGAACTTGCATTCATTTTACATGGCTTTCTAAACATGCTCTCTTTTGTGTGAGACGCGAGTGCAACAGTGATAGATGTCCCTCTAGATTCTAGAAAATGCGCGAAACATGCATTCTGTGTAAACAGCTTGGTTTCAGTTTTGTCGTAAACAAGATGTCCGCATTGATGTTCTCTTTTCCCGAAATATTTTTAATTAACAACGCAGCAGCGCCGCATCTAGTGGCTTCAACAGGATAGGCTAACAAAAACATTCAAATGCAACGATCAGTGCTCCACTGATAAAGTTGCCTCCTTAATGCACACCTAAAATTAGAATGCAACGTTTTTGCATTCAAATATGGATTTTTATTTTAAATTTGACGAATATTCGAAAAAAAATTTGACCGCCCAAGTGCTTATAATAAGTAAATACATAAAAGAAAATAAATAAGTGTACTTCTATAAGTGAACAAAATAATTGTAAGCATTTGCTTTTATTAAACGAACAAATTAATGAAGTGTACAAGTGAACGAAAAAAAATTGTTGTAAAAAGCATATGCTTTTAATAAATAAATAAAATGATTGAGGAGAAACATCTGAGACAAAGCTGATTCTTTAGGCGAATCATCTCTGCTGTATAAACTCTAGGTTTCCTCAGTATGTGTGTGTGTGTGTGTGTGTGTGTAGGCTGCTTCAGTGTAATGAATAAACGCTGGAGTTTCCTTATAAACACAGCAGTCAATACAACACAGGGATATAAATCAAGCTCTGCTGCCTGCTGACAGATATTCAACACCATCAGCCTCGACAAACACAAACACAAACACACACACACACACACACACACAGAACTAACACACTGCAAGCATGCGCTCCTATTGTAAGCACTTAATGTGCTCCTGCAGCAACAGAGAAAGCGGCATGCTTTTTCACTACATTATGAACTGCCTTCTAACACGTTTCATAATAAACGATGCATGAAATCAAACTTATGTAGCTAGAATCTCTCTTTATGCAATAATGCAATGCAGTTAGCACTAGAGATGTCAGATGTACTGCCACTTTGATCCCAAACAGATTAAAAACAAAACGATACAGTGATGAACTCAATTTGGTGTCGTTACTGCACTTACACTGCAGTTTAAAGACATTTCATTACTGACTGACTTTACTTGCATTATTCATATTCAAAATAAATTTTATAATTTATAGTTTGTTATTTTGAATTGTCATGTTTGTCATATTTCATTGCTGTCGATTTATTTGGATAAGTAATGAACCAATACTTAATTCAGGAACGCATGCAATTAATTGAGCATATTAGTATACCCTTGTTAATATTTATACAATTTTACTTTGTAAATATTCAGAATTAAATTTAATTTTCATATTTTGTTTTCATTTTAACTTTAGTTAAATTTTCATATTTCATTACTGACAGTTTACTTAGATAATACTTGCTTACTTAAGCAAATAGTTGAGAACATTAGCATGTCCTTGTTGATATTTATATACAATAAATGTATATAATAAATGTAATATTAATAAAGTATGCTCAGATGCATTGGTGTTATTTTAGTATCACTGATATACTACTGTAGTTTCTTTATTCATGATTTACATTTATTTTATTTTATTTTTTGGTTTTAGTTTAAATTTAGTTAAAGTTTTAGCAATTTTGTGGTGCGTTTTTGTCATTTTTATTATTTATTATGTCTATATACTGCAGATTTTATTACGTTTTAGTTTATTTAGTTGCAGTACTTTAACTTCAACTTATCAAAAATGACAAGCGTTGCCTTGGCAACTAGCTGAAGCAAAATAAGTTTAAAGATGTTTGTGTATTTTATTATGTCTATTTTATTTCAAGTAATTAAACATTAGTTTATGGTTTTAGTTTTAGTTAATAACCTTGTTTTGCTGTGATAATAAAGAGAGCTGTGACATTTCATTAACTACTAAAATATGGTGACATTCCTAGTTGTCTCAATCAACTCAATTAATAAAAACAAAATAAGCTTCTTTATTCTACTATAGAAATAAAAGCAACAACAAACGCCCTTAAAAAAGTGTGTGCGTAAAAAGTGAGTTTAATTGGGTTTTGAGGCCAAGTAATAACCACTTAAGTTTGCAAACAAGCTCCTGGTAGTTTGATAAATGTGCTTAATTTAAAAATAACCTTGTTACTCTGATTTAAGCAAAGAAAATCAGGGAGATTTTTAGCCTATTTACAGTTATTAAGCAGGCGACGAGAAGGACAAAATGAAGCCTGTCCAGATATTCACTACAATTCATCAATTACTCAAACTCACAGAAAGCATTCGGAGGGATCCAGCACAATTTCCCGAGAGCCTGAACACACCGGAGGGCCGAACGGGATATTAGCTGATCCGTCTTACAGAACACCTCGGCGGACGGGAAACTGAGCGGCAACAGAAGTGTTCATGCAAATACAGCACGAGTGTGTTTGCTCTCCTCACTGACCTGTCCAGAGGGGAATATCCATGAACTGAGCGGCTTTATGAAGGAGGAGGTCTCCGTGTCTCCACACACACCGTTCCTGATCCTGAAACAAACACACACACACACACACACACACACACACACACAACAGGAATAAATCATGTGCTTTAAACCTAATTATTTGCACTACTTCTCAGAAGTTTCAAGTCAGTAATGTTTTTCAAAACTTTTGAAAGTCTCTTCTGCTCACCAGGGCTGCATTTAGTTGAGCAAAAATACAGTAAAAACAGTAAAATTGTGAAATATTTTTACAATTTAAAATATCCATTTTCTATGTGAATATATTTTAAAATGTAATTTATTCCTGTTATGCAAAGATGAATTTTCAGCATCATTTCTCCAGTCTTCAGTGTCCCATGAACATTCAAATGCATCTCTACTGAAGCTATTTTCATGCCCGACCAATGCTAAACACACAAACCCTGTGTGTAAGATCATGTGTTTATGATCATACATTTTATTTAAATTTAATTTTGTTATATAATTTATCCCTGCATTATGTGGGCCAAGCGTCACCGCGATGCACTTCTGTGCACTAATGTTTTGTGTGACGGAGGCTGGCGTGAGGTCGGCGTGCACGTCTCCTGCTCTTAACCCCTTAATGTGAGTCATTAATCTGAGCATCGCTTATTTGAGCAGCTGTCACTGCACTCCTGAACGCATAAAACAAACTGAGAAGAGGACGAAGAGCACCGATCCAACACTACTTCACAATCTGACAGACGTTTAAAGGAATAGTTCACCTGAAAAAAAAGAAAATTTGCTGAAAATGTCCTCACTCTCAGGCCATCCAAGATGTAGATGAGTTTGCTTCTTAATCAGATTTGGAGAAATGTAGCATTGCATCACTCGCTCACCAGTAGATCCTCTGCGGTGAATGGGTGCCGTCAGAATGAGAGTCCAAACAGCTTACAGTGAGTATATTTTCAGCCAATTTTCAATTTAATATTCACCACTCTTGCTAATAGGACTGCATTTAATAACATTAGAAATGACTGCAAGGAAAATTTTGGCATGTGCAGAAGCCATCATCATGAACAAAACTAGTCTGAAATAACTATAAAACACACACACAAACACACTTTCTCTAACTGATTAAAAATACATCATGCAGAAATCAACACTTGACAACAAGATGCCCCAAATTCATCCGGAACTGCAGAAATGCTTCCAGCTACTTCAGAAAGTCAAGCTGGGTCACTGTCTGCAGGTTATTTGAGGAGATCACACACACACACACACACACACACACAGAGAGAGAGAAGATGCACCAGGTCGCATAGTTCATAACCTTCCCTGCACTCAGGTTAAATATTAATAATTTAATAATATCAGAGGATTTTAATCATAGATGTTGTTTAAGTAAACAGGACCTCTCATGTGAGCAGGAGGAGTTGTGCAATGAGAAGAAACTGCTTATAAAACAGACCAACATCCGATCAGAAACACCTGTGATTTCATTCTATTGAATATCTTTTTTTTTTTTTTTTTTTTTAAAGGGCAACAACACGACTATGATTATTAAATAAAATTCACAATTCAAATTACTAAATAAATAAACGACAATGTCAGCCTTTAAATAAAGAAAAGGTATAAGTCAAAATGATAATTGATTAATAAATAATTATAATGTATTTTATCTGCTCCATATATAATTCTAGAGAACTTATCTGAATGGTTTAAATGTGTAGAATCCACATAAGCTTGTTTTTCATCAACCAGTCAAAACTAACAGCAGGGCATGCAAATCCGGTCTGTTTTTGGCCAGACAGAAACTGCACACATGCTGAATGTAAATATAAGTCTCTGTAAATCCACTCGCTGACAGCAGGTGGCGCTTATGGAAAAGCTGAATTAGAGCTGTTTCCCGTAACCTTCGTGGACAAAACAGCATTGCGATTAAAACACTACTTTATTAGGTATTACATGGAGCGAAGATGAAAATAAAATGCCATCGAATCATTTCTGAAGACAGTCAGAACCTTCAGAGGTACATTCATATAATTAATATATTCATTTGTATAATTCCCTTAGCACTCTTTTAAAACATCCCAGCTTTTCCGCCCTGTTTTCACTCAAAATGAAACTACTCTGAATGCTGTGCGCACGTGAGGCTGTTACTTAAAACTGTGCTTAATGCTGGACAGTATTTATTTAATCACAAGTTGTTCCAATCGCGGTAATCTAATACAGTTTTAATGATAATTAAAAGATGAAACGGTAATACTAACCGTGGGGAATTTTATCATGATTTATCGTCAAACCGGTAATCGTTACATCCCTAATAAGACTCCACTTTTTTTTTTACATAAGGCATCACAACAAATGCAGCCATAATGAATAAATACTTCAATTTAAATAAATAAACAAAGTAAATTAAAGGGGTCATATGATGCGATTTAAATTGTTCCTTTCTCTTTGGAGTGTTACAAGCTCTTGGTGCATAAAGATCTGTAAAGTTGCAAAGACTAAAGTCTCAAATCCAAAGAGATATTCTTTATAGAAGTTAAGAATCAACCACGCCTACCTAAAACGGCTCGTTCTAACACACCCCCACATATCTACCTCACTATTTGGGCGGTGTTATGCAACTCTTCCCAAATTCTTCACGCAAAAAAAGGCTTTTATTCTCACTGTAGTATTGTTGTTGCCGCCGCCGCCATGTCGTGAAGGCGCTGTGTGATTCGTTGTGAAAGCGAAACTACTTTGTTTGGTCTTCCAAAAGAGGACGATATCTGCTTTGTCATGCCTGGAGCTGATCCGTGCTGGTCGCAGAGGAAATACTTCAAGTTCGTGCTGTGGATCGCCGGATCGGCTTTCACCGTGGACAAAGCGGAGTCCAGCCCGGGGTCGTCACATGTGGTTGTCGCTGGCATCACAGTATGGTGAGGGGTGTAACATTTCCGTCACACACTTGAGGAGTTCGGCCAATCACAACGCACTGGATAGCTGGCCAATCAGAGCACACCTCGCTTTTCAGACCGATGAACTTTGTAAAAATCGACGCGTTTCAGAAAGGCGGGGCATAGAGGAGAAACAATAATGTACAGTATGTGGAAAATAATGTGTTTTTTTAACCTTAAACCGCATAAACATTTAATTACACCAAATAATGTTCTTTTTAGCAACATCATATGACCCCTTTAAAGCATCTCACATACTGACTTTATTTAAAAAACTAAAATATCAAATGAATGAATAAATGCATATTAAATAAAAACAAATAAATTAGAATGAATGAATAAATGAATAAATCAATCAATCAATTCTTTTTGGAGAAAAACATGATTGAAAATATATTTAATTAAATGCAATTAAATTTATATTAAATGTATTTCTATTATTAAAATACATTAAAAACAAAAATAAATAAACAACAAATAATACAATTATTTATCTTATATTTTGATGTTTTAAATATTTAAAGGGGTTATGAACTGCCTTTTTTATTATTTTGTACTGTCCTCCGAGGAAGATTTTTACATCAAAAAACATAAAAATTTAGAAGTAATAGGCTATTTTCTCTGTTTGAATAGGTGTGGTGGATTGTCGACTCTGAAGTAAACGTCCACTGCTGTGATTGGCTAACAGTTGTGTATGTTTGACAGCCTACAGCCTTCACAGATCGACGCTGCTGTGATTTAGGTCAAAAACGCATAAATACTCCGTTCACATGAAACGATCTCTTTATCCACTCTTTCCTAATGTTGGAATCAGAAGGAAAACAATGCAAAGACTGTTTTTTCACAGCTTGGCACTGAACAGCGTCTTGTCTTCAGAGCATCTTTAGCATTTGCTTTCTGTAGACCTGCTTTGCCTGTTGTCATTTACCTACTATGTGCGTGACTCGGTGGGTGGAGCTAACAGGCAGTGATGCAGATCAGTGGGCGGAGCTAAACAGGCAGTGATGTAGAATCAGTGGGCGGAGCTAAACAGGCAATGATGCAGAATCAGTGGGCAGAGCTAAACAGGCAGTGATGCAGAATCAGTGGGCGGAGCTAAACAGTCAGTGATGCAGAATCAGTGGGCAGAACTAAACAGGCAGTGATGTAGAATCAGTGGGCGGAGCTAAACAGGCAGTGATG